AACAAAAATAACTGAACATTTAAATGCAATAAAGCAATACAGAAAAAGTTAAAGTTAAGTTTTACACAGATTAAAGTGCAAAAGAACTATAAAGACCAATAGGTATCACTTTACAATAAGACCTCATTAGTTAAGCTTAGTTAATGCATTAACATTCACAATCAGCAATATCTACATTTGCTACAGAAGTTATTAATCTTTGTTTAACAATACAAGTCTTAGTTCATGTTAGCTCATTAAATAACACAGTTGCAACTTTCGATTTTAACAACCTGTTATTAAATATTGGAATACCTAAGATTAATGAATGTTCAGAAGAATTTTTCATTGGCAGTTTATGTTAACTAATGAATTAACTAATGTTAATTAATGAAGCCCTAATGTAAAGTGTGACCGGACAATAAAGAATCAAAACACTTTCAAACAATATCTAGGGCATGTTGTAGTCCAGGTTAAAATGTAAAAAAAGATTGAAAATAAATAGCCTATTAAGTCTAAATATTTAAGTATTTGGTGCTGTGATGAACATCATAGCTATTACACAAATCTGAATGGCTGTTTAAAACACCTTTCAGAAACAGAAAGTAGTGCAGCTGCATTGTTTACAGGGTTTCCAGGGTAACGGCTGCATTTAAATGAATTATTATTATTATTATTATTATTATTATCTGCTGTCAGAGAGTGAAAGTGTGCTTTCCTCCAGAGCGTCTCTCACATGTTCCTCATGTGCTTCTCGTCCGCGCTTGTTTACATCAGAGTGCGCACCCGTCTTTCACGCAGCATCCAGCGTTTTGTGCATTGTGACCAGTTTATGGGAAAATTATTCTTAAAATGCATTCAAAATTCTGAATAATTTGTAATATACAGTGGTGTGAAAAAGTGTTGGCCCCCTTCCTGACTTCTTATTTTTTTGCATGTTTGTCACACTTTAATGTTTCAGATCATCAAACTAATTTAAATATTAGTCAAAGATAACACAAGTAAGCACAACATGCAGTTTTTAAATGAAGGTTTTTATTATTATTATTATATTACAAAATCCAAAACTACATGGCCCTGTGTGAAGAAGTGTTTGCCCCCCTGTTAAAACTGTGGTTAATCACACCTGAGTTCAATTTCTCTAGCCACACCCAGACCTGATTACTGCCACACCTGTTCGCAATCAAGAAATCTCTTAAATAGGACCTGCCTGACAAAGTGAAGTAGATCAAAAGATCCTCAAAAGCTAGACATCATGCCGAGATCCAAAGAAATTCAGAAACAGCTGCTCAAGAAGCATTTCTGATTATTATCATCAGTGTTGAAAACAGTTGTGCTGCTTCATATTTCTGTGTGCATTTTATTTTTCAGGGTTCTTTGATGAACGGAAGGTTTCAAAAGAACAGCGTTTATTTGAAATGGAAATCTTTGCAACATTATGAATGTCACTTTTGGTAAATTCAGTGCATCCTTGCTGAATAAAAGTATTAATTTCTTTAAAAATATGTATCTGAAAACTAGTGTATATTCTTAAAAATAATGCCTATTTAGCTTGACAGAAACCTGCAGCCTGAAGCCTGTCTCTGGCTGAGTTGGAGAAGGTGATGGAGCAGCAGAAGCAGGATCCGGGCAAACCCATCGCCCACAAACGCCTGGCCGCTGAAGTCACCAAGCTGGTCCACGGGAAAGAGGGCTTAGAAAGCGCCAAAAGGCAAGATACTCAGTTTCTGAGTATCTCAGAACTTACTCAGTTGAAGCACCTTTGTCAGTGATTTCAGCCTCAAGTCTATTTGGAAATGAAGCGACAAGCTTTGCTCATCTGCATTTAGGGCCTAAAATTAACACTCGCCAATGCATTGTAATTACATCTGATATACAATCACATACAATCTGATGTGCTGTGATCTCAGTGTTTTCAGTGTCTCGTTTAGAGAACTCTGTCTGTGCAAGTCGCTTATAACGTGCATTTGAAAATGCAACATGCGCAGACATCTTCTTGAGTTTGAAATGAAAATGTTTTTTCAATCTGTTGTCAACAAAAGAGAAGTTTCCCTGCAGTTTTCCACTAAAATAAAAGCTTGATGGTTTAACGACAGCAAAGAAAAAACAACCACAGATATTAGTGTTGAAATTGTAATGTTGTTATATACAATAATAATCATTCATATTTATTATTTTATATAAATATTATTTAAATAAATAAAAATTATTATGAAATACTTTACAGTTTGATAGTATTATAATATTTCCTTAATGTATTTATTTTTTATTTGATTAAATAATAGTAATAATAATAATTATAATAATAAAAAATGTATAATAACAAAAATTGCAATTAGATATGTGTCCCCAGTTAGTTCTGCTTTTTTTTATTTTTATGAAATAATGCACATACAGTTTCATGGCTGGTAAAAAAATATTTATGGCCGATAATTTTTCTCCCGTCACTATTATTACACATATTATTTTATTGTCATTTTGATAACAACAACATAAACAATAAATAATAATAATAAACTATTAATAATAATGAATAATTTCAATAAGATGTGTTTCCCGAATTTGTTCTTCCTGGGTTTATATACAGTATATATGTATATATATATATAAATAAATTTATATATAAAAATATAAAAATATATATAAAAATATTTATGGTCAATAATTTTACTCACCAAGACTTGAGAAAATATTAAATATGATATTATATATGTATAATATTATTAATATATAATGCCCTTAGAGAGATAAATTAAATAATAATAATAATAATA